CAATAGAGAGACCAGAAATAAACCCACACCTATATGGTCAATCAGTATATGACAAGGGCCCTAGCTGGTTTTGCTCAGTGGTTAGAGTGTTGGCCCTCGGACTGAAGGTTCGATTCTAGCCAAGGGTGCCTGCCTCAGTTGCAGGCTCTAACCCTGGCCCTGGGCAGGGCTTGTGCAGAAGGCAACCAATTGATGTGTCTCTCTCACCTCTCTCTCTCCCTTCTACTCTCTCTGAAAAGGAATGGAAAAAATATTCTCAGGAGACGATTAAAAAAAAAATTATGTGTGTGTGTTTGTGTGTGTGACAAAGAAGGCAAGAACATACAATGGGGTAAAGACATTCTATTCAACTAATGGTGTTGGGAAAATTGGACAAATAGAGGCAAAAAATGAAACCAGACCACCTTCTTAAAATACATACAAGAATAAACTGTAGATGTATTAAAGATTTAAATGTAAGATCTGAAACCATAAAACTCCTAGAAGAAAACATAGGCAGTAATCTCTTTGACATTGCTCTTAGTAATATTTTTTTGATATATCTCCTCAGGTAAGGGAAATAAAAGAAAAAATAAATGGAACTACATCAATCCAAGAAGTTTTTGTGGCCCTGGCCGGCTAGCTTAGTTGGTTACAGCATTCCCCAATACACCAAGATTGTGGGTTCGATCCCTGGTCAGGGCACATACAAGATACAACCAATGGATGCATAAATAAGTGAAACAACAAAGTGAAGTCTCTCTTGCTCTAAAATCTATTTTAAAAATTAAATAAAAAGTTTTGCATAGCAAAGGAAACCATCAACAGTACAAAAAGACAACCTACTAAATGGGAGAAGATATTCGCCAATGATACATCTGATAAGGGGTTAATATCCAAAATTTATAAAGAACTCCTACAACTTAGCACCAAAAGCAAAAACAAATAATTCAATTAAAAATAGGTGGAGTACCTGAATAAACATTTATTCAAAGAGGCCATACAAATGGCCAATAGACATAATGAAAAGGTGCTCAACACCACTAACTTCACACCTGTCAGAATGGCTATCATCAATAAATCAACAAACTAAAGGTGTTGGCTTAGAGGTGGAGAAAGGGAACCGGCTTGCACTGTTGGTGGGACTCAAATGGGTGTGGCCAGTACGGAAAACAATATGGAGGGTCCTCAAAAAATTAAAAATGAAAATTTTATAATGAAGCAATTCCACTTCTGGGTATTTATCCAAAGAAATCCCAAACATGAATTCAAAAAGATAAATGCATCCCTACGTTCACGGAAGCATTATTTACAATATCCAAGACATGGAAGCAACCCAGTGCCCATCGACAGACAATTGGATAAAGCTGTCATACATATATACATGGAATATTACTTGGCCATAGAAAGAATGAAATCTTACCATTTGTGACAACATGGGTGGACTTAGAGGGTATTATGTATGCTCAGTGAAATAAATCAGACAAAGACAAATCCCATATGATTTCACTTATATGTGTGATCTAAAAAACAAACTAACAAACAAAACAGAAATAGACTCTTAGATACAGAGAGCAAACTGATGGTTGTCAAATGGAAGGGGACTTGGGCCTGAGTGAAAAGGTGAAGGGATTAGGAAGTACAAATTGGCAGTTACAGGATAGTCATGGGGATGTAAAGCACAGCACAGGGAACATAGTCAATAATACTGTAATAACTATGTATGGTGCCAGGTGGGTACTAGAATTATTGGGGGGATAACTTCATAAATTATATAAATGTCTAACCACTATGCTATACACCTGAAGCTAATATAAAATAATATTGGATACCAACTTTAATTTAAAAATTAAAAAAAATTAAAGAATAAAGTTCAGATGAGTGGTTTTCTTTGGAGAGAGGGAGAGTGATACGTTTGAGGACTGGCACAAATGTTTAAAGGTACTCCCTTATGTTCAATTTCTTAAACTGAGGGATTGACACATGGATGTCTATCATATTTTAATATCTTAATGTACAGTCCACTACCTATCATGGTTTGACTAATGATTTTTCAACTTTATGATGGTGCAAGGTTGATACACATTCAGTAGAAACTATAAAATTTTGAATTTTGATCTTTTCCCCAGCTAGTGATCTGCAGTATGATATTGTCCTTGATGCCAGGCCCCAAGGTTGGCTAATGTAAGTGTACAGAGCCCTTTAAGGTAGACTAGGCTAAGCTACGATGTAGGTTAGGTGGATTAAATACATTTCCACTTATAATATTTTCAATTTACAATGGATTTATCAGAATGTAACCCCATTATAAGTTAAGGAGCATTATGTATTTACTGTGTGTTTATTTATATTTTCTCCTGTACATAGGAAATATTCAACCCTCAAAAGAAAGAAAATTGAAGAAGCAAAATCAGCAAGGTGTTGGTGTTGCCCAGCCCCATGCGTGTGCTGGGGTGGAGCCAGCGTGGGATGCGGGTTGGAGAGGACACGCTCTGCAGTGCATTGGAAGCTGCAAACTCCAAAAAGAATAAAAGAGCTATGGTGGGTCAGAAAAGGGTGAGGAACTGTGTGGCGGCAGCAGGCACCAGGCTGCGGCTCAGGAAGTGTAGGGCCTGAATAGAGGGGGAAAAGTGGGGGGCCTCCTCCTCCAGGCCAGGGAAGCCACGGGCGCGGGTGCAGTTTCCAGAAAGTGTGTCCGCAGTGAGAGGATGGGGGCCAAGGTCAGAGGCCCAGGAGCACTGTCCTTCGGAAGAAAGAAGAGCCCTTCAAGCTGAGGCTGAACGGAAAGGTGGCAGCGAGGAGCCAGGGTGTCTAGAGAACGTAGGAGGGCCTGGTCAGCAGGGCCATACGCTGCTCGGAGGCCACCACGACAAGGCGGCCATTGATGACCGGTCTGGAGCCCTTTCGTGGAGATAAGGCGGGAGCCAGACTCAGGAGGGGAATGAGGTCAGGAGTGGAGACAAATCTAAGGAGTTTGGCTGAGATGGCAAGGGGCAGCAGCTGGGAAGAGACATGAAGTCAAGGGAGGCATTTTATTGAACCTTTAAAATGCTCTTTTAAAATTCCTAATCTGGTTGAGCCCCACTAAAGCAGAAAGAAGGGTGCCTCAGACATTCCCACCATGCTGGCAGCTAAGCACAGCAGGTATCCATTGAGGCTGAAGCATGGGGTGCAGTGGCACTAGGGGGCAGGGGCTTCCTGCTGACTGGTTCAAAACTGTGGCTAGATGTGCTGGAGAAAGAGAAGAGAAAGCAAACTGACATTTAGTCGTTTTTATTCTAGTTTTTAAGTTCTCTACAGAGAACACACCCTTTCTTGCATGCCTGCACCTACCACCTCGGCCCTGCTGCCACCGGTGGTGGGGGACAGGCTTGGTCCCCAGGACATGGGTGTGCATCTTGGCTCCTTCACATTCTGGCTGCCTGGTCTGGGCAAGTTCCTCACCTTCTCTGAGCCTCAGTGCCCTTTGGCTCACTGGACTTGAGGCTAATTCTTACTTCATCAGTGTTATGGGAGGATGGAGGGAAATAACAGGAGAGCTCCAAGAGCAGAGCACACAGTAGCTACTAAGTGTACTTTTGGAGTCAGAAAACAGACAACATGGTAACTGGTGTTGCCCGCCTCCCTACGCCAGAAGCTTGGCCCTGTGCAAGCACCTGGGTGGATCCAGCAGGGTGGACAGGGCCATGGGTGGGTGTGAGTGTCCTTGGGCACCAGCCCAGATCCAGTCCTCGGGTTTGGCTGGACCTGCAGCAATCCCTCCCACCCTGTGCTCAGCTCAGTTGCTGCCTGTGTGCAAGGTCCTCCCCAGATCCCCAAAGGCCAGGCCTGTGCCCTGCCCCTGCCCTCTCCACAGCCCTCAGGAACCACCACCACCTGGGCTGCAGAGGGCAGTTGTCATGGGGATGCTGGGCCTGCTGAGCTGCCTCCGTAGCAACAGGACTCCCAGGTCGGTTACCATGGAAACAGCATCCACTTAGCAATCAATGATGGGGACAGGGTTCCCTGCCCTTTCTGAGGGCTTTCCTCTCTGGCATATGGGCTGGGCAACACGGTGCTCCCCGTGCTGCCAGGAGCCCCAGGGACTTAGCTTTTCCAACCACAGATCACTGCCTCCCCCCTACCCGGCAAGGTCCCAGGGCCTGCAGGGAACTTCAGCCAGGGGTGGCAGAGTCTGCCACCTGAGGGTTTCAAAGGGGGTCTGGGGGCGAGGCCTAGCACCCCTCCCCCCACTGCAGTGGGGAGTGGGCACCATGCCTCCTAACAATGCCCTGAATCCAGAGTATGCCCTCAGGTTCCCCAGCCCACACAGGAGCCCAAAGGCTGTGGCTCATCCTTGGACACTCTGAAAGGCAGCCCTCTGTCCTGGACATGAAACCCTCAGATTGGTCACCTTTTGTCCTCCAGCTGCCCTCCAGCTTCTGAGGGCCCATCTGATCAAGCTAAGATGGCATCTCCTTGTTTAGTAACCAGCGGGCGTTCAAATGCACATTGCTGCCCTCCTCCCCTTCAGGGAGCCCCAGGGACTCTGGCAGCTGAGTGGGTAGGTTCTGAGTCAGGGTCTCCCATCTCCACTAACTGACAAAGGATGCACACACACACTCTCTCACCCTCCTCCTTACTCCACCAGCCCATAAACAGTGCACAGCTGCCTCCAGTGTCCACAAGTGCTCTGGGGACCTGTCCTCTGCCCTCCACAGCCTTGCTCCTGAGCCTCCTGTATTCCCGTAACTTCATTTCCCCCTCAATCCCNATCAGGGAGTCCCAGGGACTCTGGCAGCTGAGTGGGTAGGTTCTGAGTCAGGGTCTCCCATCTCCACTAACTGACAAAGGATGCACACACACACTCTCTCACCCTCCTCCTTACTCCACCAGCCCATAAACAGTGCACAGCTGCCTCCAGTGTCCACAAGTGCTCTGGGGACCTGTCCTCTGCCCTCCACAGCCTTGCTCCTGAGCCTCCTGTATTCCCGTAACTTCATTTCCCCCTCAATCCCTGGCCCCTAAAAGAAGGCAGCATCTGCTAGAATTTTTTTATTTAAATAAAATATACAACACGGCACGTTTACCGTTTTCTGTTTCAAAAGTGGAAGATTTGAAAATTGCTTGTGGGGGCCTGGGGATAGGAGGGCCCACTGACTGGACCTGGCTTCTCCAGTCTCCAGAGTGGCTGCACTGGGTCTGAGTTTTCATAATATGTGTTTGTGTAGAGGGTGGTGAGGCCAGGCCCTGATAGCCGGGGGGTGGGCTGCGGGGGTGGCAGGGTTCCTCACTCCTCATGCCACTGAACCCTCTGCTCTCACTCCTGTCCCTTTTCTACAGCCCCCCTTGTCGTACCCTGGATTAGACTGTGGGTTTAGATTAAGTAAACCTTCCTCAGGCGGGAGGGATATGTGTGTGTAGAACTCAGACTGAGGCCTCTGTTTAAATTCTTCCAGCTCTGAGAACCCCCTGGGTCTGAGGGGCCTTCTCTTGTCCAGTAAAGACCAAAGCCAGGTGGCTCCCTGTCTGTCCCTAAGACCCCAGGATCCTCACCTCCTTTCCTGGGTGACTGCCTCCCACTCCCTGAGACCCATGACTGAAGAAACTGGCCTGCCCCACATCTCAGGACAAAGCCTGATCTTGCCAACATTCTGGCTTGGAGCAAGGAGGAGAGCTCTGGATGGACAAGGTGGGATCAGCTCTCCTCATTATTCAGGTCTTGGTAGCCAAACCTGCTCCTACTCTGTAGGAAGGGGGCAGACCACTGAGCTTGGCTCTGGCAGAACCTTGTTGGAGAGGATCATACCTAAGGAGCTGCTATAATCTGAGCAGCTTTCACATCGACTCCCATTCTAGACCTGCTTCTGGCTCCTGGTTGCCTGCAGAATCAGGTCCAATCCCCTTAGCCTGCCATCCAGGGCCTTCCCTCTGACCACCTGGCTTCAGGACCTCCTCCCAAAGCCCCCAACTCCACATTGCACATTACCTTCATGATGTCCCCACCAAGCAGTCCATCCCACCCAGCCTTCCTACTTCCTCCCTTCTCCTTTCCTTCCCTCCCTCCTTCTCTCCCTCGATAACTCTTCCATCTCGAAGCCTGGCCTAAGCCTACCACTGACCACACTTTCCTTAGGCTCTCAGGGAAGCCCAGTCACCTCCTATGTCCTGAGATCATAAGCCCTGGAGCTCTCAGCCAAAGCTCCCTGGCTCTCACCATAGCTTGCTGGAGCAATGGCTGGGTGTACGGAGGGGCAGAAGAAATATGACTTATTGAGCACCTACGATGGTATGTGCCAGACGCTGGGCATTTCACATATACTACTTTTCTTATCTGGTCCTCACACATCCTTGTGAGGAGGCACCATAATTATTCCCATTTTACATGTGAGGTAAAGATTCAGAAAGGTCAGATAACTTCCCCAAGATCACACAGGTAAGGCATGGCTAGGATTTGAACCAGGTCTGGCTGCCTCCATAATCTGGTCTCCTCCCTCTGCACAATGCTTGAAGACTAACTCAGCCCCTCTCAACAGTTTTTAATGGAAAAAATGAACCTAGGCTTCAGCCTCAGGCAGGCATGAATTTGAATCTCACATCAGTCCTAGCTCTGCCATTCCTAGTTACGTGATTCTGGAAAAAGTACCCAAAACTCAGTTTCCTCATTTGTGAAATAGGAAGAATCAAAGTACCTACCTCATAGTCTCTGTGAAATTGAAGGAGTTAATGTGTGTAAAGTGCTGACCCAGTGCTTGGCACAGAGCAGACTCAACCAGAAGTTCCCTCACCTCCCACTGTACCAAAGGGGAACTGAGGGCCACAGAGGGAACAGGATGTGTTGAGGACCACAGGAGATAAAGCTCAGAGTCCTCTGCTTTCATGTGGCGAGAGGTCAGGCTAGGATTGGATATGTAACCAGAGATGGGGAGACAGGAGGCCTGCTGAGAGGTCTTGGGGTCCTCTTCCCTGAGGACTGGAAACAACACTCCCCCCCTCCCCGACCTTGAGGTGCCCAGCCTGCAGGCTATGCTGGGCTGCTGGATGTAAAGTGACTTGGGTGTCCTGGCAACATGGGGTTAAACTAGATTCACACACATGTGTACACATGTGAGTGGCTATCTACATGGCTCTGCAGAGCGCTACATAGCTTATACATATACACATCTTACATACATATACATATACATATCTTGCTAAGTTTGCAGTAAAAAAAAAAATGCAAAATTCTCAGGACCCTGGCCCCATTTTGATCCAAGGACTCAGGTGACTGAGGCTCCCCAGGAAAATACCCCAGGGCAGCCCTTAGGTGACCCCCAGCAGAGTGAGGCACCAAGTTCACAGCTAAGGGGCTGGTGGTGGCTGGTGCCCTAAAACAAATACAATGACAGGTTTGCTCTAGGAACCCAAATATGGGTAACCCCCCCCAACCAAGCCCCAGCACCTCCCCTCCCCCCCACAGCCCCTTCCTCTGGCTTTTGCGTTGGGCCTTGTCTGCCTCCCTCCTCTAGTGCTGAGTATTAAAATAGTCTATAAAAGCAAGTGACCAAAAATCTATAGCTCTAAGAATACCTGGTTATTTTCTGCTGTCTTTTGTTTTTCTGGTGTGAGTTTTTTTAAAATGATTATTATTGTTATTGGTATATCTCCTAAATCACAGTTAAACCTGAAGGAAGAAAGAAGGGAGAAAAAAGAGAGAAAAGAGAGGGAGGGGCCCCAGCTCATAGATTGGATGGCAGTTTGGATCGTACTGGCTCAGACCTGGCCCCAGGTTCCCTCTGGGGAGCAGCAGTCAGAGGGGAGCCCCCAGAAGAGGCGGCTCTTGCCCCAAAGAAAGAAAGAGAGGGTGGCAAAGAACCTGAGGATGTCTTCTGAGGCAGAGTGACATGCTGGCCTGGGGTGGCACCATAGGGCCTCCCAGAGGGACCAAGGCCCCCGCTGCCCCCACTGCAACCCCCAGCTCTGGAGAAGAGTGGGAAGGCAGCCACAAGCTCCCCAGGGGAGTATGGGGAGGCTCTGCGGTGAGTCTGTGCCCCATCCTGGGGTAGGGCCGGCTGAGAGACTGAGATGAGCTTGAGGTCCTGGGTGAGTCGGCCTGGGGTGAGGGGTGGTGTGCCCCGGCGCTGAGGAACCTGTGGTGGTGGGGGGCTGGATACAGGTGGCAGGAGCAAGGAACCATGGGAGCCAGAGGCCCGGGGTGGGGCACTTGGGAAAGTTCTTGGGGGGCCTGGGCTGTGGCCAGGGGGGCTGAGGCCTCCTCGGGGGGTAAAGGCTATAGGAGAAGCCCCCCCAGAAGCCCCTGCTATTGATGGCCGCTCAGGCTGCCGTGGAGGTGTCTCTGGCGTACTTGGTGGGCCAGCAGCCAGACCTGGGGACAACTCCCCAGGAGGCTGGCCGAGCTGCCCTGGGCTGGATGATGGGGACCTGGATGAGGGTGGGGGTGGCAGGAAGTGCTCCAGCAGTCCCAGGCCTCCCTGGGCCCCTGGCAGTGGGGGCGGCAGCTGGTTAGCCTGTGGGGAGTAAGCGCCAGGCTGTAGGGGGGTGAGCACGGGCGAGTCGGAGGAGGACAGGGAGCCACCCAAGGCTTTGTGGAAGTAGCCAAATCCTGCCGTGGTGGTGGAAGCTGTGTTGGCGGACAGAGTGGGAGCCAGAGGAGGGCCACAGCCCCCGGGAGGTGGAGAAGAGCTGGACACAGGCAGGAGAGGGCTCAGTCCGGCAGGGGCGGAGAATCCAGCCAGCTGTTGGATGTGGAAGGAGGAGGAAGATGGGGTCTCCAACTGGGATGGGCTGCTGGCGGGCGAGGCAGAGCCCAGCGCAGAAGGGATCAGAGACTGCAGCCGCTTCAGATGCCGGGGTGTCTGCCCCTGTCCAAGGCCACTGAGCTTGGGGCCAGGGGGAGGGCGGAAGACGGCAGCGGGCAGACGTGGGTGGTGGGTGAGGGCTATGGCCACAGAAGTGGTGGCAGCGGCGGCCTGCAGCGGGGCCTGGATCAGCGGGGTCCAG